ACCAAAAGTCCCTTCGGCCCACTCACGTTCACTCTCCTGAGCGGTGGATCGCTGTAACGGTGGTGCCCACACATCAACTTCACCTGGCCTGTCCGTCCTTAGAGGGAGGTGGGAGCTGGTCCTGCCCACAACGTCGCTCTTGAATAATGAACGGGTCCCCACCTGACATTTGGCCCAGACCTCCGGTGCCCGGGACATCGAGGGAACCTCTGGGCCGCGCTGCCACGTGACAAGAGGCATCGCTCACGTGGACATGGAACGAGGACAATGGAGCACAATATCGCAATGGCAAAGTGCGGAGAGATGTGCGCTTTGTCAACCGTGCGAATCGGAGGGTGCGGGGGAAGGACAACAAACTAAACACAAAAAAGCAGTTCTAGAGACATTCGTTTTCAATCTAGATTTAAAAGTACACAGCCCTCAGTGGTTTCTTAATTATAATACCAGATGAAAGTCACAGGAAATGGGGACAGCGTGGATGAGAGACCACAAACAGATTCAAAGACAATTTAACCCGTCAGAGAGAAGGAAATGGCCTTGGGTTTGGTCGGACGCGCCGCCAATATGCCGGGATGGAGTGGCAAGACAAAGTCGGTGACCGCGTGTCCCAGAGAGGGAGAGAGAGAGACAGGCGACGTCCTCCACCGGATGGGATGGAGAGACGACACTGGGCTCGGGGGAAGAAGGCGCGCGGTGGATTTAGAACGTCGCAGGATTCGCGAGGCAGCGATGGAGAGGAGGAGATCGCAACGACTTGATGACAGAAGGGGTTGGATGGGGTGCGCCAGTGCAGCCATTAGCGCACTACAAAGCCAGCAAACCCGAGTTCCGTTCCCGGGCCATGACCAGCTGCCTCCCGCTTCTTCAACTCGCATTGACCAGCGTGGTGAGGTGTAGTCCAACTAGGCGAGGGACCGTCCGTCCATCAGTGGATTGACAAAATGGCTGTGATGTAAAAATAGAAAGCTCACGGGAACTTGACAACCCCACGCCAGTGCCTCGGCTTCCCGAAGCCAAATATCCCACCCACCGTCGCGACGCTCATAGAACAACAACAACGACGACGTGAAGGGCACCGATCGGAACACAACCAACACCTAACCTCCCTCCACCACCACCTCCTGGCGGATCAGTGATGATCTGAACAACTTCCCACGCACAACAGCTCGGATCGAGACCTCGGCCAGTGCAGACTTTGCGTGACGCGAATGTCAGCATTGAGACGGCGTTGGAGCAACTCGTGGGCTTGGATAAATAAGCCCGAACCACACGGAGCCCATCAGCGAACCCCACCACCACCAGCATCGGCAGTGCTCAGCTTCCACACCACACAGCTCATCAAGTGAGTGGTTGGATGAGTGGGTGGTGGGTGGGTAAGTGGATGAGTAGGTGGGTGGATGAGTGTGTGGGTGGGTGGGTGAGTGAGTGGGTGAGTGAGTGTGTGGGTGGGTAAGTGGATGAGTAGGTGGGTGGATGAGTGTGTGGGTGGGTGAGTGAGTGAGTGGGTGAGTGAGTGGGTGGGTGAGTGAGTGAATGTTTGAGTGAGTGTATGAGTGAATCTGCAATTCACCAACTATCAAAGCAATTAAATGGCAAAATCACTCACAAGTGAATCTAATACTCTCCAAAGGCCACAATAAAATAACAAAATAGTGTACAACGTTTGCCATCTAGTGGAGGCATTTGGAATAATCCGACTTCCCTAAAGGCTAAACATTGTTGTCCTTGATTTAAAGCTTTCGTGACTGCAGTAATTCATATTCTTAGCTCTTTCGGTAAAGTCACGTTGAAGGGAAACAATAAAATAATAAAAAAATATATAAAACAATAGAAATTCTCACGACGTTTCGACCATAACACAAACGGTCGTCATCAGGTGTGAAAAGCAACGGCAAGAAACATTTGAAGGAAGTGTCGGTTTGCATTTTTTTTAAACGGTGTTTTTATTTATTTAAAAAAAAACCTAAGTTGCCTCTGTGGTAGTAGTTACATTGGAGAAACCAAACGCCATGTCTCGGACCGCATTCGTGAACACAAAGCAGACCTTAAATACGGTAGGACCAACACCTCGGCCGTGGCAGATCATTGTTATAATTCAGTAGGCTCACATGACATTGACTTTTCCAAGACAGAGGTTCTTTGTAAGCCATCTGGCTACCATGAGAGATTCGTTCATGAGGCTATCCACATATACAAGCATAGAGACAATTTCAACCAAGAAGATGGATTCTGGCTTAGCAATCATTGGAAAGATTTGATAAACCATTTCAGGTCTTAATTGATTGTTCACGCTTATAATGGCTTTCAGACAGCATACATTAATTTTTCGTCTCCCCCCTCCTCTTTTCAGAACATAGATGGACTCATAATCTTAGTTTTTTCGGTAAAGTCACGTTGAAGAGAAACAACAAAATAATAAAATGAATAATATATTTTATTATTTTGTTGTTTCTCTTATTTTGTTGTTTCTCTTCAACGTGACTTTACCGAAAAAAACTAAGAATATGAATTACTGCAGTCACGAAAGCTTTAAATCAAAATTTAATAGATGGACTCGTCCTTCTAAATAAACTGCCAAATCGCTGCGCGTGGCGCTGACGTTTTTGTAAATAAATAAATAAATCGTTTAAAAATACATTAATGCAAACCGACACACCTGATGACGACCGTTTGTGTTATGGTCGAAACGTCGTGAGGATTTTTATTTTTTATATATTTTTTATTTTATTGTTTCCCTTCAACGTGACTTTACCGAAAGAGCTAAGAATATTGTTGTCCTTATTCACTCATAACTCTTCTTCTTCTTCCACGCGTTTGCCCCACTCACGTAGGGGTGTCCAGCTGCCCTTGGCAACCTTCTCCACGCTGCACCTGACCTGCGCCGTCTCTCTTTCTGCTCCTCGGACCCACCGTGTCCGCTCGCACCGCATCTCCCCAATCCCACGTCTTCTTCTGCCTTCCTCTTCATCTCTTTCCTTCCACCTGCATCACTCACCACCTTCTGACCCACGTCATTTCCCTGTCGTCTCTCCACATGACCGAACCTCACCAGAGCCTTTTCTCTCTCTCTCTCTCTCATCTTCTCTGTGATTGCTAACCACCTCGAGTCTTCCTCTCACGTCTTGCCAATAAACTGCAACTTTAATCACTACCTATGAGATCTTCACTCAAAACTGCTCTAGAGGAGTTGTACACCCCTAGCTGCCACTGCTATTCAGTGGCCTAAAATAAAATAAAATGTTTCGCTCCGGATGACCGCTGCAAAATATTATCTGTATTTTGATTGAGCGTGCTGATCTTAAAGGTGCATTGAAAAATTTGATACTCCGACTGATGCTCCTGTTGTTGTGGAGTCACTCATGCAGCCAGCTATGGCTCTAGGGTTTGGTGTTACATGTTATTTATGTAGTTTATTGTAAAAATTCGGTCACAGTCCCTATGATCACTGTTACACTGCATGTATGACTTTATTTTGGTGATTTCGAAAAGTTTTTTGGTTTGGCCATGTTTTTGTTTATTGTAGTACGGAGTTAGACTGATGGCCTTAATCTTAGTTGTCTTGTGGTTGTTGTTGTTTGACTTGCATCCCACTGGGATTTTTGCACACAGCGTTGGTGTACGGTGCTTTTTCAGGAATATTTTGCTGTTTTTTCATGGATTTTCTGTTTGCACAGTCACACAAAGTCACTTTAAGATGTTTTTCTTGTTCGTGTTTTTGTTTGTTGCGGTCGCACCCGATTCAAGAGCCGTATAGCCCTGTGAGCCAGGGCTATACCAAATAAATGAAACTGAAACTGTCTTCATTTCTCACCCTGTCTTTGTTAAACCCAACATCCACAGCAACATCCTCATCTCTGTGACTGACGTAGCTTGGCACTCGCATACTCCTGACTTTAAATGTACACTGTGCTTATAGACACCAAGCTAAATTAAATTATTGAAATGACCTAATGATTGTTTCGTGTTATGGTAAAGATAGAATCCTCGCCTACAAGCATTAGACAGTTCACCAACATTGGCTCAAGCGATCCCGGCTCTGCTGATGAGCCACTGAACGCCGAAACCGTTTCCAGAGGTTTGCGTTTGTGCCGAAGCAATGCTGCTGGAATTAAGCTCACCCACAGAGAAGGAATGCCAAAATCGGACCTTTTTTTGCCAGGATCAAAGTATGAGAAAATAAGAAGAGGTTTTACCCTTCTCTGGCAATAAAACAGACGTGTTAAGATGTTCAAACACCAAATAGGAACTTTTGCAAGGGCTCAAGTTACTGCATTGACCACACACAGCGCTTGTGGTGGACATGCAAACAAAAATATGCGCTGATAATATGATGCAGTGTCTTTGTGCTTGTTGGCCTTTCGGCATTCTCTGGTGTGACACGCTGGTGGTGAAGGCTGCCATCTCTAGTGTATGTTAATCAGACAATGCATCAAATATTATCAGACGTTTGTTTTGCATGTTCACAAGTAGCGTGTGTTTAATGTAGACTCGATTCCTTTCAAAGGGTTTCTATCCGGTGTTTGAACGTCTTAACACCTCCTGTTTCATTGCCAGAAAGGGTTAAAAAACACACATTCTTATTTTTCACAGGAAGGCCATTTGGCTGACGGGATGTGTAAAAATACTTTTATATATTTTTTATTGTGTGGGGACAGATGTGGGAAGGTGGCCTACGGTCTGCGTATCTATTTTGGCTCGTTTAGCGCGTGCTTCCAGGGGTTTTAAATGCGCGCTTAAGTTTGTACAAACTAACTTTCATCTCCTGATTCGGACCAAAACAAAATACGTCACCCACATAGTATAAGCTATTACGTCACCAACACAGCTGGGCGAGACGAATCAGAGGACACAGCGCGAGATGACGTCGACCGCGCACAAGTACAGTCCCAGGATTACGTCACCAAACACAACATCGAGCTGGGTGACGTCCCCTAACACAACACATTTGTTGGACGACGTCATCTCAACCCCGACGCGCAAATGACGTCCCCACGATCATTGTACCGTCCAATGGGCGGGGGCGATGGTGCGCGCGCACCCCCCACCTCGCTGACCCCCCGCGTCACGTGCTTCAAGGGGGTGGTGGGGCAGCAGCAGCAGTAGGAGAGGGCAGCAGCAGCAGGGAGAGGCTATCAGTGAGAGGGCAACAGCAGTAGGAGAAGAGCAGCAGCAGTAGGAGAAGAGCAGCAGCAGGGAGAGGCCATCAGTGAGAGGGCAACAGCAGTAGGAGCGGGCAACAGCGATAGGAGAAGAGCAGCAGCAGTAGGAGAAGAGCAGCAGTAGCAGTAGAGCAGCAGCAGCAGTAGGAGGAGAGGGCAGCAGCAGCAGGGAGAGGGGCAGCAGCAGAAGGAGCCGCGCGTTGCTCCTCGGCGACCACCACCACCACCACCCCCACCACCACCCCGGCCCGACACTCGGCCAGTTCGCGCCGATTAGCGCGCAGCGATCGCGGCGGCGGCGGCGACGTCGGCGGCGGCGCCGTCCACCAGCCCGGGGCCATGTCCATCCAGTACGCCGAGGAGGAGCCCCTGGGGGGCAGCTTCAACGTGGTCTCCTCCTTCCCCAAGGACTTCGGGTACGGCCCCGAGGAGAGCGGAGGATGCGCGGACGAGGACGAGGGCGCGGGCCGCGGCGGAGGCGGTGGCGACGGCGGCGGCGGCGACTCGAAGCCTCGCATCCTGCTCATGGGGCTGCGGCGCTCGGGGAAATCGTCCATCCAGAAGGTGGTCTTCCACAAGATGTCGCCCAACGAGACGCTCTTCCTCGAGTCCACCAACAAGATCTACAAGGACGACATCTCCAACAGCTCGTTCGTGAACTTCCAGATCTGGGACTTCCCGGGGCAGATTGACTTCTTCGACCCGACCTTCGACTCCGAGATGATCTTCAGCGGAACCGGGGCGCTCATCTTTGTCATCGACGCGCAGGTTCGGCCCCCTCCCCCCCCTCGTCCTGCCCGGAGCTTCGGGATCCTGGGGCTTGGACTCGTGATGATGCTGAGACCAGGACTCGTGATCCCCCCCCCCCCCCCCCCCCCAGACTCCAAGGCTCATGACCCCCCCCCCCCCCCCATGGCTCATGATCCCCCCCCCCCCAGACCCCGGGGCTCATGACCGCCCCCCCCAGACTCCACTCATGATCCCCCCAGACTCCAAGGCTCATCACCCCCCCCCCCCAGGACTCATGATCCCCCCAGACCAGGGCTTATGAGCCCCCCCCAGACCCCAGGGCTCATCATCCCCCCCAGGGCTCATGATCCCCCCAGACCCCAGGGCTCATGACCCCCCCAGACCCCAGGGCTCATGATCCCCCCAGACCCCAGGGCTCATGATCCCCCCAGACCCCAGGGCTCATGATCCCCCCAGACCCCAGGGCTCATGATCCCCCCAGACCCCAGGGCTCATGATCCCCCCAGACCCCAGGGCTCATGAACCCCCCCAGGGCTCATGATCCCCCCCAGGGCTCATAATCCCCCCAGACCCCAGGGCTCATGATCCCCCCAGACCCCAGGGCTCATGATCCCCCCCAGGGCTCATAATCCCCCCAGACCCCAGGGCTCATGATCCCCCCAGACCCCAGGGCTCATGATCCCCCCAGACTCCAAGGCTCATGATCCCCCCCAGGGCTCATGATCCCCCCAGACCCCAGGGCTCATGATCCCCCCAGACTCCAAAGCTCATGATCCTGGTTCCTGAGACCAGGACAGTGCTCAGGCTAAGCCTCTGGGCTTGAACCCGACTAAAGCTTACGCAAGAGCAAGGATTGGCCCAAGCCTAGCTCTAGAAGAGACTGGTTCTAAACGTGAGGCCTAGCCAAATTCTACAAGAGGCCTAGCCAAATTCTACAAGTCAATATAACACTAAAGTATAAGCCTAGGCAAGGTTAAGTCTGATTGTTCGCCTAAAGCTCGGGTAAAAAAACCTCGAAGCTGACGACAGAACGCGGCTCAGCTCTACGCATAAATCTTGAGGCTTGAACGCAAGGCCCCACCTACGACGTAGTCTTGGCCGACTTTCACACAATCCCAAGTGTAAACAAATACTTGTAGCGGCGCAGACGAACTATACCTACAAGCTTATATGACTCTGGCCAAGCCTGTCGCTAACGCTGACTCCTGTAGCCCGGCCTAACTCTCAGCCTACACTTAAGATGCGCTTTAGATTTAGGCCTAAGCCCACCTTCAGGTACAGTACGTCCATATCCGTAACCCTTAACCCAGACTCTTTAAGCCTAAACGTATAACCCTGACCTGAACTTTAAGCGTAGGCCTAACACTTAAGCATAGGACACATGAACGAAACTTAAAACCCTGAGCCTCAAATTAAAACGTAAGCTCAGCTGTAAGCGTAATACTAATTGTAAACCTAACCGATTATTTAAGCATGGTCACTCGAACTGCATACAATCTTGTCAAGATCTTGGAGTGAAGCTGGTGCTTCCAGGCTGCGGCGAGGATGTATATATTGTTCAGAGGAAGGTGCAGCAAAAAAAGGTGAAGTATGGTCAAAAGGCTGCCACTTGTGGGAAGGCCCCGATTCAGCGGTGCATTGATAACAGGACAATGCAGGTACACACAGAAGCGAACTTAAAGCGTACACATACTAAAGCCTGAGTCTTATACATTTGTCTAAAACCACCCCTAGACACTAATTATTACACCAAGTTCCGCACCAGTGTTCCACCAAAGACAAAGGTCCCCCGTGTAGCCCGTAACAGACTCTAGGGGTAAGTGCTGTTAGCGAGTAGCGCCACCTGTGAAGGCCGGCACGGCACGCGAGGGGGTGGGTGGCCACAACACCACGAAGGGGGCCGCCTTTGTCTCCCCAGTGGCGATGTTTATGCACACCGCAACAGCTTTCTCATTTCAGGCCGAGCCGACCTAGGGGAGGCCGGTCCATCCAATGGTGCGCGTGGTCTTGCTGCGACTTTAAACGCCAGCGCTCGACTGTAACGCGACCACGCACCCCGGATTTGAGTAACTAAAATAACTTTAGGGCTAAACTGCTGTACGGGGACGACTATTATGTCGATGCAGTCGAAGCTTGGATATCCGGTAAGCAACTTTACCGCACAGTTGGCTACGTACGGTGGGAAAGAAGTTCAACGTACACAATGGTGGAGCCAGGATTATCAGGTAGTGGGGGCAACCCCTCCAGCAATGAAAAACGATAGAGTTGTTAGTAAGGAGTTGTTAGTGTGTAAGGAGTTGTTAGTAAGGAGTTGTTAGTAAGGAGTTGTTAGTGTGTAAGGAGTTGTTAGTAAGGAGTTGTTAGTGTGTAAGGAGTTGTTAGTGAGTAAGGAGTTGTTAGTAAGGAGTTGTTAGTAAGGAGTTGTTAGTGAGTAAGGAGTTGTTAGTGAGTAAGGAGTTGTTAGTAAGGAGTTGTTAGTGAGTAAGGAGTTGTTAGTGAGTAAGGAGTTGTTAGTGAGTAGTTGTTAGTAAGTAAGGAGTTGTTAGTGTGTAAGGAGTTGTTAGTGTGTAAGGAGTTGTTAGTAAGTAAGGAGTTGTTAGTGTGTAAGGAGTTGTTAGTGAGTAAGGAGTTGTTAGTGTGTAAGGAGTTGTTAGTGTGTAAGGAGTTGTTAGTAAGGACTTGTCCCTTGCTTTTATTCGATGCGTGTGTGGCGATGACGCAGACATCGATCGAGGGTCGAATTGGAACCGCGTTGTGTGATCGGCATTGCACTCATTGAAGGTGTTGATACCTTCAGGAAAGTCGTGTCCTGTATACGCAACCGTGCACAATTCTGTGAGTCACTTATAACTGCTTTGCCGTTACTTATTGCCAATTATGGACTCAGACTATTGTCAATTATGGACTCAGACTATTGTCCTATCATCTCATAAAGTCCCTGGCACGTAATAATATGCTACACGGTGGCAGTGTGGGCCGCAAAATGCCGATTTATTACTAATAAACCCCAATGATCCAATCGAAATGAGGGATTTCGAAATTAGGGATTTCGATCGGATCATTGGGGGGGCACGTGCCACCCCACTGGCTCTGCCAGTGAACGTACACACACAGACTCACATAGTCACTCACGCACACAATCACTCACTCACATAGTCACTCACCCACACACTCACCCACACAATCACTCACACAGTCACTCGCCCACATAGTCACTCCTTCACATAGTCACTAACCCACACAATCAATCACATAGTCACTCACCCACACACTCACCCACACAATCACTCACACAGTCACTCACCCACATAGTCACTCACCCACACAATCACTCTCACATAGTCACTCACCCACACAATCACTCACTCACATAGTCACTCACATAGTTACTCACCCACACAATCACTCACATAGTCACTCACCCACACACTCACCCACACAATCACTCACGCAGTCACTCACTCACATAGTCACTCACCCACATAGTCACTCACCCACACAATCACTCACTCACATAGTCACTCACCCACACAATCACTCACCCACACAATCACTCACCCACACAATCACTCACCCACACACTCACCCACACACTCACCCACATAGTCACTCACATAGTCACTCACCCACACAATCACTCACTCACATAGTCACTCACCCACATAGTCACTCACCCACACAATCACTCACTCACCCACAGTCACTCACCCACACAGTCACTCACTCACACAGTAACTCACTCACACAGTAACTCACTCACAGTAACTCACCCACATAGTCACTCACTCACACAGTCACTCACCCGCATAGTCACTCACTCGCACAGTAACTCACTCACACAGTCACTCACTCACAGTCACTCACTTACATAGTCACTCACCCACACACCCACACAATCACTCACACAGTCACTCACCCACATAGTCACTCCTTCACATAGTCACTAACCCACATAGTCACTCACCCACACAATCACTCACTCACATAGTCACTCACCCACACATTCACCCACACAATCACTCACACAGTCACTCACCCACATAGTCACTCACTCACATAGTCACTCACTCACATAGTCACTCACTCACATAGTCACTCACCCACATAGTCACTCACCCACACAATCACTCACATAGTCACTCACCCACACACTCACCCACACAATCGCTCACACAGTCACTCACCCACATAGTCACTCACTCACATAGTCACTCACTCACATAGTCACTCACCCACATAGTCACTTATCCACACAATCACTCACATAGTCACTCACCCACACAATCACTCACCCACACAATCACTCACCCACACACTCACCCACAGTCACTCACATAGTCACTCACCCACACAATCACTCACTCAGTCACTCACCCACAGTCACTCACCCACACAATCACTCACTCACCCACACAGTCACTCACCCACACAGTCACTCACTCACACAGTAACTCACTCACACAGTAACTCACTCACACAGTAACTCACCCACATAGTCACTCACTCACACAGTCACTCACTCGCATAGTTACTCACTCACACAGTCACTCACTCACAGTCACTCACATAGTCACTCACCCACACAGTCACTCACCCACATAGTCACTCACTCACATAGTCACTCACTCACATAGTCACTCACCCACAATCACTCACTCACATAGTCACTCACCCACATAGTCACTCACCCACACACTCACTCACCCACAGTCACTCACCCACACAGTCACTCACTCACACAGTCACTCACACAGTCACTCACACAGTCACTCACCCACACAGTCACTCACCCACACAGTTACTAACTCACACAGTCACTCACTCGCACAGTCACTCACTAACACAGTCACTCACTCACACAGTCACTCACCCACACACTCACCCACACACTCAGCCATCCGATTAGCACGTTTGGCTACGTACGGTGCGAAATAAGGCCAACATACAAGTACATGCGTACAACTTTATACGAGCACACGTCTAATATGAGCATCGCATGTTTACATGGCACTGTGTGT